CCTTTGATCCTCATGTCATCTCGTCACCTCCAACTCTCTTGGCTGATCTGTATGACTGCTAAACCAGCATGGAGGCATTTACAGGGAGCTGTTACTATTTGTTATGCATCATAGATGGGCAATGTAAAACATGTTCTGATTGTCGCGAACTTTCGTATGACGTAGGATAGTATAGTATAGAACAGGAGCACTGCCAAACACAGGGAAAGAGGGAACATCTCGCGGTGACCCATAGTCAGTACTGCACTGATGATCAATGGTTTTCCACAGGGCCGTGGCCCCAATTTGCGAAGCTCACGTTGCTTGACTGCCTGCATTGCAGAGCAAATTTGCGAGTTTTGTGTCCTTTTTTCTAATGCCACCACCTACATGTAGTATGCAGGAACACAAGTGCGGAGGATACGACGAGTTTCTTATACTCCGTACATGATGGCTAATTTCCTAAGCTGGGGATGGGGACGGAGAGCGCAGTGACTTGGGAAGATCAAGAAGCAAAACATGTCTACTCGGCAGTGTCAGTACTATGGAGGCTAGCCCGCCACGCTAAATATTTAGCATGGCACCTGCTAACCAAGCTGGGAATACGGAATGCAATTAATCGAAGCGGGCGGAACCATGGGGGCTCAATACTCGGTTTTCGGCTCTTGCATTGCTGTGAAATTTGTGTTGGGAGAAAGTGGGTGGCTTCGTACATACTGTACTGTGTACGGACTACGGAGTATGTGCACATAGGTACAAGCTCTAGTCAGTTACCTAGTCGCTCCCCTAAACTCTCTCGCTCTTCCTACGCAAAAACCAACAACCATCTCCGCGGGATTTTGGAATGATATAAATGAACCCATCCCCATCTATTCTTTAGATGCATCGTACGAAACCGGGGCAAAGTCCACCTTCACCTCGGTAATACCCAATACATGGAAGCTGCAGCACGCCGTTCAAGTCTCCACGCAGTCAGTGGACCCAACTGCGACCCATCGAGTCCTCCGTGGGTGTAATTCGTAGAGACCTACGAAGGAAGGGCTGAAAGGGCAGGAGTATCCAATTAAACGAGAGACATATACCAAGTATTACTACGGAGTGCTGAAGGGTACGGTTCAATATGGGTCAGGGAAGTCTTTTGCATCCAATACCGAGCAGGCAAGAGATAATTTAACATTCATGCTCGGTACAGAGTACTGAGTAGGACCAGTTGCACCGCTCCGCTCGTTGACTCGCAAAGCACAGCAACTTCACCAAGATCGAGTCGTCGCATCAATCATTTGGAGTTGTAGGTAGACTGCGGCAGCTCTTCCTTTGGTCCTCCTTCTCTTTCTTTCTTTCTCTCTTTCCAGAGAAGAAGAACCATGGTTGAAAATGGCGTCCCACCACCGAGTACGGAGTTAGTCCTGTGATCTGAGGTCCACTATGATATCATTCCATCCCCGAACGAATTTCCTTTCTAGGGCTCAGGCATGTAGCATGCAGATGTTCTTTTTTTTTTTTTCCTCTTCCTTTCCCTCAAGGGTGGGGGGAGTTTAGGGGAAAAGAGGGGCTTTCCAGTTTTCCATCCTTCCGACGGGGTAATGTTGAACAGAAGATGGAAAATAATTGGGAGATCCTTCGCATTATTTGGCGGTATTAAGGCAACCACCACTGGTCCAGTACCGTGTAGGTACTGTACCTTACGTAACAGGCCCCCAGTACGGAATGGAATGTAAGCACAAAACCACCTGTTTGTACTCCGTAGACGAGGTAGAAATCCACCTTGGATTTTTGGGGACAAAAGATGATACCCCAATAGTTTCTGCCAAATTTCAAGAGATGTGGATTTCTTTTTCTCTACTCTGGCATGTTCCAGACTGCGTATAAGCATACTCTGTATCAAAGGTGTTTCAGGATGGGAGTCAGTCATCTGGACACCTTAGGTAGGTATCTATCTATCCGAGACAATACATACCTAACTACTGGTAAGGCATTATACACAATGTGCCTGGGCCTTAGCCGCCTTAGGCACCTACTCATGATTTCTTGGGTATCTGTAGTCAGTGAGGGGCTCGGAATTCCTGGTAACAATGGAAGTTATAGAGCACGGTAAGGTTTTCCCTCATGTCTGAGGATTGGTTATTCTCCTGAAAACTTCCATCTCTGACTCGGGAGTCAGGAAGGGGTTATGCCTCTTGCTCTGTGCACGGCAGTCGTTAGTAGGTAATTTACTCGGTTTTAACTAACCTATTTTAAGCTTTATCCTTTGGGCTTGAGCCTCTGGGGAGGACATTCTGGTTTCTGTGTACATACATACATATACATGTACGTAGTCGTGTCAGTAGGACTAGGTTGGGAGAAACGACTGCAAATGCCGCATGACGTCTACAACGACTTGCCAGGCAGAAGAGAAGTGGCGCCGAATGCTGTCCAAAAGGCAAATCGGGTCACATGGGGGAGGAAGCGTTCGGAAGATGAGATCTGCTGATACGCCGTACTGCTCGGACCCGGGGATCCGCAGAGCCTGAGTTGCCGGTAGGTCCTGATCCCACGGAGGTACGGTTACAGTACTGAGTACATAAACCGAAGGTGGCCACACGTTGGTTACTAGCTACTACTAGCTAGGGAGGCACATAAAGATTGTACATAGTATACGGAGGGCCTACGGTGTACACCGAGGAGACCGTCAGAGTGGATACATCTCCAGATCGAGCTGTGTCAGCTGACAGCTACCTTCGAATCAAGGGATTTCCAGGTCCAGTTGCCCAGACACTCCGATCTCCATACTTCAAGTGTATGTAGGGTGTACATAGTCTTGCGCTGCAACAAATGTACCCAGAGACCGTGGAGGATCAAAGCAATCGTTGGAACTTTTCCCAGATTCCTTTACCTATTCGTCCTAACGGGAATATGCGGCCGGGGGAGGGGGGAGGATGGAATTACCACAGAGTACAGCATATAGCTGCATAACGCTTAAGTAGTTGAATCTACTGGGCTTGGTAATATTTGGTTTAACATGATGCAACTACTAGTGCACGGTAGCAGATACTCCATAAGCAATGGACCCGATGGCTTCGTTACAGAGTCAGTACCCTGGGAAATATCCATGGATATAACCTAGACATGATAAACCCGTTGAGACTCCTAAGAAAGTAGACTATCTAGCTGATACCAGCAGGTAGTACCAGGTACACTACGTAGGTGGCAGAGTAATCAGCCAATAGAAAGGTCCATGTCAGAAATCATAACTGGTCACTTGACACCCAACAGCTGGTACCTACGACCGTAGCTACTTTGGAACTGCTCCGCACAGCGCAAACACTTCAACCCGAGGGCTGAGAATTGAATGATAATTCAGCTTCTCTATCTGTCTACTAACCTGAGGCTGTGCATATGTCATAGATAGGATAGGATAGGATAGGTGTAGGTGTAGGTGTAGGTGTAGGTGTAATACCCAAAGATTTCAGTCGGGTAAAATGGAGGTATTTATTTGCTTTGTTTGTAATATTACCTTATGTTTCCTTTTACCACAGCCTACCTAGTACCCACCTGACAGTAAGTCGCACTGGTAGTTACCTGTTACCTACTGCAATAACTAATCCTACAGAATTATAGCGTACATTGCCGTCAAAACACCAAGAACCATCTGATTTTGAAGTAGTCTGGATTACCTACAGCTACCGTAGACAGATGTGAGCCACAAGACTGTCCTCAACTCCTCATCCACCATTGTCCTGCCTCTTTGGAGTGGGCACTGCCACAACAGACCTTGACCGGACTGTTACTAGTCATTTTTCCTAGCCGGCCAGTCCTGCCCTGGGGGCAGGTCACTACTGCTTTGGAACCAAGGTATCAATTCTAATTAGGTATAAATACCAGGCCTCTCCAGAATAGTGGTACCTCCGTGCAATTTCAGTTGGATGTAAATGGCAGTAGTCGAGCTTTCCGGTATTGTAGGGTACTCCCCAGACTACCTACCTTACGCAATTCCCTAGTATAGAACAGAACAGAGAGTGTAGTTATAGATAGTGACTATGTTAGTAAATTCCACTGATCACTACAGAAGGAGTTGTAAAGAGGGAGAAGGAGGCAGACTTGTATACCCTCATGTAAAGGGAAGGAGAGGTCACTGGTACTTTGTCTCTGAAGAGGGAGGGAAAAGAAGAGGAAGGAGAAGAGGATGAAATAGTTAGTCTAGAAAAGAAAGGAAAAGGGCTCTACAGATTTCTCAGAACCAAACCTCTCTTATTTGACCGGAGCGGGCTCGTGTGTTCCTTGCCATCTTTCCTCTCCTCCCGGTGCTTTACTCCCGCGTTCCTGCAGCCCTCGCGTGTTCGGGCTTCGTCGCTCCATCAACGTCACCTGCTCGCCCTCTCTCTTAAGGACTATTACCACCACCTACCCGCTTAACCGCCCTTCCTTGGATTTCCTCCACCCGCCCACCTCTTCCCCCCCCCCCCTGCCACATTGGTACGGACTACGGCGTGAGCATTTCTCCATCTCTTTTTGAGTTAAATGCCCTTGAATTTATTTTATTTATTCAATTTTCCCATTCCTTCCCCCCTCCCCTCCCCCCCGCCCCTTCCTTCCCTTTTCCCGTCACACCTCTGCACAGAGGATTTGCCTTTCACTCGTCTCGTTGCAAAATTGCGTCGGTCGGCCTGGTCTGCTTTGCTCTGCCTTTGTATTCTTGGCACCATCCGAGTCCATTGGCCCTTGATCTGAGCCCTCCCTCCTGCGATTCGCCCGTCCACAAGTCCGCTTCTCAACCTTTCCATCTCACGCGCACCTCCTCCACTCAACAATCACGATTCGGATATTCCGCCCATCTCAGAGCACCCCTCGATTCTAGTGCTCCACCGACTACTCTCCGCCCAAAACGGACCTCACGTTTTACTTCTACGCCTCTTCCCGCCACTCACTGTTGAACTGCAGTCCCCCCTTCTCCCGATAGCGCTGCCTGACTTGACGCCTGCTTCCTTCTCCATCAGACGTCCGTGATGTCACAGAATAGGCCTGGGGTATTCTCAAGCTTGCGCATGGGTGGTAAGCAATAATTTCCCTCGTCCGATTTCATTATTCCAACAGTATTCCTGGGCCTTCAATACTGACTTGTTCTGCTCTTGTGGACCACACAGAGGTCGTTCGTGAAAAGGTCCAAGATGGACTGACCGGGGAAACGAAGGAGATCTCCTACTCACAATGCAAAATTGTCGGCAATGGGTCATTCGGTGTGGTTTTCCAAACCAAGATGATGCCCAGCGGCGAGGATGCTGCGATTAAACGAGTCCTCCAAGACAAGCGTTTCAAGGTATACTATCGCCCGTCGCTCTTCGTCATGTACGCGTTTGCCTAAATGACAGTCCAGAACCGTGAGCTACAGATCATGCGGATTGTGCGCCATCCCAACATAGTTGAGCTGAAAGCTTTCTATTATTCCAATGGCGAGCGCGTATGCAGAACCCTCTTCCAGTCTTTCTAAAGCCATGATCCACGCCACTAACCGCACTTGACTGTCAAATCCAGAAGGACGAAGTGTACTTGAACCTTGTCCTTGAATATGTCCCGGAGACTGTGTATCGGGCCTCGCGGTATTTCAACAAACTGAAAACGACCATGCCCATGCTAGAAGTCAAACTTTACATTTACCAACTGTTTCGTTCCCTGGCGTACATTCACTCCCAGGGCATCTGCCACCGCGACATCAAACCCCAGAACTTGTTGCTCGATCCCAACAGCGGTATTTTGAAGCTCTGCGATTTCGGTTCCGCCAAGATTCTTGTCGAAAACGAGCCAAACGTGTCATACATCTGCTCTCGCTACTATCGCGCCCCAGAGTTAATCTTTGGCGCAACTAACTATACCACGAAGATTGGTAACTGCCGGAACCCCGAAGACAGGCGATCTCAGACGACTAACCTCTGGCAGACGTATGGTCGACTGGCTGTGTGATGGCCGAGCTGATGCTTGGACAACCCCTCTTCCCGGGAGAGTCGGGGATTGATCAACTTGTGGAAATCATCAAAGTGTTGGGAACGCCAACTCGTGAGCAGATTCGCACCATGAATCCCAACTATATGGAGCACAAATTCCCTCAGATCAAGCCACACCCGTTCAATAAGGTATGTCGCAGGGACCGCTGTCCAAGTTTTTTGGTGGGGGGGCTAATTTAGCGTCTATAGGTCTTTCGACGGGCTCCCCACGAGGCCATTGACCTGATCTCCGCTCTGCTCGAATACACGCCGACCCAGCGTCTTTCTGCCATCGAGGCTATGTGTCACCCATTCTTTGACGAACTCAGAGACCCCAACACCAAGTTGCCTGACTCCCGGCACCCCAACAGCTCGTCAAGGGATTTGCCCAATCTCTTCGATTTCTCTAAACATGGTATGTTCCGGTCCACCCGAATCTTCCCTCTCCATTTGGTTTGTTCGAGGGGTTTTCAAAGGACAGGCTAGGGGATGAGAGATGAACAGCGAACTATGCGCTAACGAAACTGTAGAACTCTCTATCGCACCGGCCATGAACTCGCGACTCGTCCCTCCCCATGCCCGCCCCACGCTCGAAGCTCGTGGGTTAGATATCGATAACTTCACACCCCTTACGAAAGATGAAATGATAGCACGCCTCGATTGAGTCAAGTTGTGCGATTTTACGAAGTACATGCCTGGTCAGAGCGCTGCTACATGTGTGCGGCAATCATCTGATGTCATGCCATACAAGTTCCTCTTTATGCGTCGGGCAGTTTCAGAACATAGGGGAGAGGTTGGGGTTGTATACCTATTCTCTCGGCGAGAAATTCAGGGGCTGGCTTCTCTGTGGAAATATGGAATAGGGCAGAACAGAAGCGCAAGATTAAGAAAATCAGCAACTCGAAAAGAGAGACGGGGAGAAAAAAACAAGAAAAAAAGCCAGAAAAAAAATTGTGGAAGGAAAGACCCAGGAGGAAAGGGAATGTTCCCCTATCACAACTGGAAAAGTTCTTTTAAAGACTGTGGATCATGATTTCGTCACTCAAAGAGTGTGACGAAGTGACATTGTCTGGAGTTTATTGAGGTGTCTGAGACAGCTCAGAGGAGAGAAAAGTGATACCCTTATTGCGTGAGTCTGCCTTTCCGGAGTGCGAGCCTGCATAGCTTCAAATCTCAATTGAAAGGAAGGGCCATGGAAATGGACAACGCAAGTGTGATAAACATGGATGGGAAGATGAATAACCTATCAATGCGTCAGATATTACGAGGATTTCTTCAGCTTCCATTGCGCATCACGGATGCGCTTATGGAGATGCTTTGAATATATGTCTGGAAGATCATACCTCCTGACTTGCAGCTTTAGAGACTCCTTTCCTGTTTTCCTCTACGCCCATTTCGTTCGTATGCGCATTTATCCATTTTCCCATCCGTGTCTGTTCCTTGCCCATATGTTTCTTTTCTCCAGCCCTTCTGTGTTATAATTCTTATTCCTGTTATGTCCAGTTCTATCCATTTTACTCTGGTGATCATATTTATCTCAGCTTTTCCCGTGATGAAGGTACATGTTTCTTAATTTCAAGAGAACCCGACTCATCTCTTTCCTTTGACTAGTTGTACCCTTGGTTTCCCTCTATCCTAGAGCCTCTCATGAAGTATACTGGGTCACTTACCTTCTTTAGAGTGCATAATCACTGTTTTACGGCTGTAGCTTATGTTGACTGCTGTTGTACGAAACAGATTCTTTATCCCCATGCCCCCAAATAACCATCAGTTATTTTGATTTTGATTTGATTTCGCCTCTTGTTCTTCTCGTCCTTCCGTGCCGGCTGTTTCCACTTTCTATTGTCGGAATATTTCCATAGGTTGCTTAGAAAGAAATGGAAAATGAAGCGAAGGGATTCTGTCCCTTTTGTCTCTCTGTATATTTTGGTTGTTTTTTTTTTTAAAGACCAGGCCCATAGTTCAATAGACCATGAGAACTGGCACTACTTGGTTCTTATATAATCACCGGGGCGGATGATCTCTGTTCCCGAGGTCCCTGCACAGGCGGTGTTTTTGCTCGTACATGCACGCGGTTGGTTGATTGGTATCTCCAGCAAAAGAGCTTATAGCTCTCTACCTTGTTTGTCGCATTTGCCAATTCCTTCCCAGCTCTTATTCAGGGGGACAATTCGTGCACAAAGTACCTTGTACGAGCAATAAGGTCCAGCCATGGCCGACTACGAACGCCGACACCATGGACCTAGGGGTGGTCGCAAGAGGCGCTACAGAGGTAAGTCCGCTTTGCAGCTTAATACCGTCCAGTCACCAATGCCACCCGCGTGATAAACGCTACCAAGCCTAACGAGAATCTCCAGATGATGATGACTATGACCGCCGCCAGCAGCGGCGCAGGTACGAGGAGCCCTTGGTCGTCAAGGTTCGGAGGCAACTGCTGAGCATCGCCGAATCCGTATGAATTACCCACCCACCCCCCTTCTCTCCCGACAGAAGCCTTAGACAGCGTTTATATCAGACATGGGGATTCTCACTCATACTCTCTTTCTCAGGCAGCCAGAAGGGTGGAAGACGATGCGGTTCATATCGCGAAAAGCGTGGCAGACAATTACGAAGATGAGGAGCTAAGGAACACATTTGTTGATATCTCACTTGACCTGTCTGTTTGAGCCTCCCCTTTGCTTGATGCTAAGTATCCAAGTGCTGACGAGAGTCTCTTGGCAGTGTTCTCGAACAACCGTTGAAGATCCCTTTCATCGCTGCAATCACGCTCGTTGCCAATGCCTATAAATCAGAACTTACCTCCGACATTCTGAAGAAAGCAGGTGAACTTCTGCAAAATTACATTGAAGCAGGTGGATGGCGTGAGACAAAGCTTCTTCTCCGATTCTTGGGCTGTCTTCAGTCCATCTTCGAAGGCGATGGTATCTTCCCTATCCTGGAGGAGCTCTTCACCCGCGCAGTTGATCTTCAGACAACTTCTTCCGAGGATGTGAGTAGTTGCGCTCATCTTACCGTATGGTTTACCCTTGTTGACCTTTAACGACGCGCAGTTACTTGGTTTGGAGCTCGTGAAAATCATCCTGTTCACAATTCCATATGTGATGGCCTCCCCCGCAACTGGCTGCGAAACCTCAGCATCCGCCCTTCTTGAAAAGACAGATATCATCGCCTCCACCCCCCATACACTGGTCGACTTGGTGAAACCCTTCGGTCCAGAGGGTGAGCAACCAGGCGCCGTCCAAAGCGTTATTAGCTTGCTTCAGACGCAACTCCAACAAGAGGCCACCCGCGGCTGGGAACTTGCGTGCCTTCCTCGTCCCTGGAGCGGCGTTCAAGGGGAAGAGAATGAAAATCTCCTTGAGACAGGGGCAAAGCATGCTTTTCCTCAAGTGACCGTCCCCAACCCCGTCAAGAACGGAACGAGAGCGATCTTCCCGGAAGTCTACTTTTCAGTCTACGAAAACCAGGATATGGAGACCGTGCCCCCTACATCAGACATATCTTCGTTATTGCTGCGAGACACCCTAGTCGACACCATCAATATTCTTGACTTCAATCGCATCGCAACAGCCAAGTTTCTCATAGATGTGGATTGCTACTTCACGCCCCATACCTTCGTGAAGCGCGCAACGCCTTTTGACCGGTTACGAGAGATCCCCGGAGATCGACCTACATGGAAGCCAGAAGATGTTGCCGTGGATGCGGTTTTCTCCCAACTATTTCACCTCCCTTCTCCGGAGCATAAACTTGTTTACTACCACTCCGTTCTGACGGAATGCTGTAAAATCGCACCGGCCGCTATTGCTCCGAGCTTAGGGCGTGCTATTCGCTTTTTGTACCGCGGTCTGGAAAGCATCGACCTTGATCTCAACCACCGATTCTTGGACTGGTTCTCACATCACCTGAGCAACTTCGGGTTCACGTGGAAATGGAGCGAATGGTTTGTATTTCTCTAGGTCGATGTTTGAATTATCCAGGAGGCTGACCACTCGTTAGGATTGATGACCTTGAACTCCCCCCAGTCCATCCAAGAATGGCTTTTATCACTGGGGCGCTTGATAAGGAGATTCGGTTGAGCTTTGCGCAGCGCATCAGAGGCACCCTTCCAGACCCTTACCAGGATTTGATAACAGAGGGAAAGGAGAAAGACACCCCCGATTTCAAGTACTCCGTCGATAGTGAGTGGGAACCCTGTTTGGCATTTGGATTCTACGGACTTTGTCGCAAGCTAATCAAACCCTTTTCCCTTATCCTTAGCTACGCCATATGCTACCGAAGGAAGGGAACTCATGCAGCTCATCCGCAAGAAGGCTTCTGATGATGACATCCAGCCCGTAATTTCGTCTATCGAGGAGCAAGCCCAGTCGCTAGGCGTCGAAGTCCCAATGCTTCCTTCAACCGATGCATTTGTCACGGCTATTTGCTTTGTGGGCTCGAAATCCCTTTCGCACGTCTTGTCGTGTATCGAGAGGAATAAGGAACGACTACTAGCCATCGGACCGAAGTCCCCCCTTGCGCGTCGCCAGATCATCTCCTCGGTTATGGAATATTGGGCCGATCAACCGGGTATCGGCATCAACATCATCGACAAACTGCTCAACTACACTATCCTGACGCCACTCTCGGTCATTGAATGGGCTCTGGTGGATAAACTAGACGCAGGGTCTATCCTGGCCAAGACTCACGTCTTTGAGATGATTGCGGCCACTGTCGGCAAAGTCACCAACCGCCTACGGCAGATCGTTGCCGCACGAATCCAAACGGGACTGTACGAGCCCCAACTGAGCGTCCTGGACGAGACCTTGACCCGGGAGAGGACGGACATGCAGGCTCTTTTCAAGGTTATCGAGGACTCCATCGCCCCCGTCGCGGGTGGAAGTAACGACGAGCTCATGGAACGGGGCGACGGAAGTGGCAACCTCCCGGAAGATGTCATCATCCGACAATGGGGCTCTCGGTGGCTGAGGGTTTTCCGGCGCAAGGCTGCTGTCGAGGAATCGTTCATCACCGAGGCTATGGTCTCGGCCACTCCCGTTGGAACACAGGCGCCTGCCCTTCCTTCGGGAGACGCAGCCGCTGCGAGTGCGTCCGTTGATGGGGACATGGATGTCGCCGAACCCGACGGAGCCGCTGACATTTCCTGAGCGTATCGATGCTGGACCCTAGGACATCAATTGTAGATGCCAGGTAGAGAGCAGAGGTGAACGAAGCTTTTGCTTTTCGAGGCATTTTAAGGCAAACCAATAACGGGACTGAGCGGCCCGGAGGATGCATTAGATCCACCGTCAGACTCAGACTTATTTTTGTAGTTGTATAATCAATTGATTAACAAGAGACCCCTCGACTTTGACTTCTAAGTTCACATAAATCATAAGAATGTGCCATTGCGTTATAAGAAAAGTTTCTTGGTCTTCAGAATGGCCGCCTTCAAAAGCCACCACCCCTCGGCATCATCACAAGTTCCTGAAATATTAATGTACAATAGAATTGAAAAAAGAATTGAAAAGAGAACAAACAATAAAAGGCCAATGGGCGATCAAGGGTATGCCCTCAATCCATGATGACCCAGCGCCAGGAAGCACCAACAAAGTGAAAGCACGTTGAAAGATATTAAGAAGGTAAATTAGAATAAGATATGACGGGCAAAGGCAAAAGAGCAAGGGGATATTAAACACTGTACTGAAGGCTCTGTTTGTTGTACACCAGCGGCGCAGGCAGGAAGCAGAAAAATATATGAGACTCGTGACTGGCCATATTATCTGATGAAAGACCAAGATACACAGATTTTCTTCTTTCTTTTTTTTTTTTCGGTCCTAGTCAGGACGGTTGAGATTCGTCGTACTTTCGATCCCTTCCCAAGCTGCAAGCAAGAGCAACTCGACAGAGAAGGAAGCGACAATGCCTGGGTCGGCTTGCAGGGATCATCTCTCGCAAAACTCCAAGGCCAAATCACAACTGTTTCTTGGTTTCTTCCTCTACCATGTATTTGCGGTCGTCGTCGCCCTCAACGTCCTTGAGGATACTCTCCATCTCCTTAGTTTGTCGCTTCCACTCTTTCTCGCCCATTTTCGTCTCGCGGCGGAAGAGCTCCTCGTTGGGCTGGCGGTAACTGCCTCCGAGACGATCCCAGAGAGTGGTGAACTGTCCGTAGTTATAGTTGAAGTAGAGATGGTGCATCGTGTGACAGGCCGCGCCGTTAATCACCGGGCTGTTCGCAACATATTCCCCGTCGTGAATCAAGACAGTCCACAGGTTGATGAAACCGAAAAGGATCACGTAGGCGAATTTCTGAAGAGGAAAGATGAACGGGAACACGTGGTAGGGAACACTTTGCGACCAGCCATCCAGCGGATGGAATGCGTGCGATGCATACGGGCTGGGCATAATCCATTTGTGGTGAGGCTTGTGCAGAGTCTTGTAGATCAACGGGTGATGCAGGCCGCGATGGATCCAGTAGATGCAAAGGTCGGTGAAAGCGATGAACAATGGGAACTGCAGGATACTATAATACGGGAACGGTTCCTCCGAAAATCCATCGTAAAGCTTAGCATATCCCCGGACCTCGAGGACCAAAAATGGCGCGGTCAACAGGGACATGATAGGCATGGACCCCATGGTTTGGGCGATTTCCATGGGGATTTGGTTTTTGAGGAATTTGGGGTGTTTGAAGGTAGTTTTATCCCAGATGAATATGTACGAAAGGGTCGCGGAGATAAAGTAAACGATGAAGCCAAAAATCCTATATCCAAGGGGGGAGGTAGTTAGCAGTCGGTATCAGTGCAATATCAAGTAGATGCGACATACCAAACAATCAGAAAGAAACTCAAAAATTGGCGATAGATGTTGTTTCTAGGCCAGGCGCTCATGTATGCATACTTGGATGGTTCCAAGTAGATCAATTGGGTAGCCGGTTCATAGGTGAAAGGTTGAGACGCGCCGAAGAAGGACAACGTGCTGTTGGCAGCATTGGTAAACCCAGGAAAGGAGACTGATGAGGACAGAGACACTGGAAGCAGCGTGGCGTACAAAGGATCACCAATGAAGGTGTCCCAGATCTCGAGGGCGATATCCATGGTGCGCTAATAAAATGAATGTAAAGGTGGTGGGGGGCAAAGAGGAAGGAAGAAAAGAATGGAGGGGGAAGAGGAAAAAGAGGAAAGGGAAGAAAGGAAGGGGAAGGGAAGGAGTGGTAAGATCGATAAGTACAGCGGTGCACTAGTATTCGGCAGGGAAATTAAGATGAAGAAGAGTGGAAGACCCGAAGGTTTCCAGAAGGTCGGGGAAAATAAGAAAGCAAGCCGCCTATTGGAATCAAGCGTGGCATCACACCAGGCGGAAAGACGGTAGCCGTTTACTTGTTTGATTATAAAGAAAAAAAAGATTTGCCCCCCTTCCTCCCTTCGCTCTCTCTCGGTCTTTTCCCTTGAGCAGAGTCTGGCCGGTGACTCTCGGGGAGTGGGGGGAGGAGGTAAGGTACTGAGTAAGATCATCAGGGGAAATTATTCCACAGAAGTTCTCCGTAGAAGAGAAAAAGTCAATTGCCGATTATGAGCCTTCATCAGGACAGAATTCTGGGTATGTGATTGTATATCACGGTAGTAGTAACTATTGAAGGGTACTCCGCACCCGTAGGACAGTCAGATTATTCCATTGTGTACCTGCATTTTGCAGGCCGCCTTAGCGTTGCTCCGCGCTATACTCTTAACTCTACGGTGGTCTGATGGGATCTGGAGCTGCACTCCGATAATAGACAATAGATTTAGTTATTTCTGTATTCACCAAATGCTCGGTAGATTGCTCTTTATATATACTGAATCGACAGAGGGATTGATCTCGATCCTTAATACTCTGTGCTAGGTATAGTAATGACTTTGACGGCATTCAGTCCTAGTATGTATATTCCCTTCTGCACGGAGAGAACCTGAGGAGTATCTGCCGTCGAAGGACTCGGTGAAAAGTGAAAAGAAAAGAAGAGAAGAGAAACGGTTCTCGGGAAGCCCCGCCGGACTAAAAAGGGGGGCGCGCCCAGGTCGCTTCTCGCCTATCGCCTCGCTTCTCGCGCCAAACTCTCAGCCGCCCGTCGCCCCCATCGAGTCACGCCGACCTTGCGCTCGAGCTCTCGACTGTCATCTATCGTATCTATCCTGACCTTCCTTACCCTCCTCTCCCACCACCCCCATCAATTCATCCATCGCCTGCTCTGATTTGACTTTCGTCCATTGCAATCTATTCCCCCCGACTCGGTCGCAGCGGTTGTTCCTTTCGGAGCGCGCTGGGATGCGGCTGCATTGACGTTCCTGCTCAGCAGTTTCTGTCGTCTCTGGTCAGTCCGGTCGCCGAATTGAAAACCCCATCGTTCGTGTCTCGCTCTCTCGCCGCGAACAACCCAACCCCAACCTCATCACCCTTCCTCCCTGATCGCGGAAGGTTTATTTGTACTGTCAATTCATTACTTCCTCCCGTGCTTCTGGTTATCTCGAAGCAAACAACCCGGATAGGAACGTATTACGCGCAATGTACAACGCACATCGCGGGATGGTTCCCGCGCCCAACTCCCGTCTGACGGAGCTGTTGGACCAGTTGCGCCAGGAGTTCGAAAACCAGTCAAGAAGCACTGGCGAGTTCGAACACCAATGTATGTTACTTTCTTCCTCTTCCCCACACTCACATGGCTTCCCGGACCTGTCTTTTCCCCGGTTGGAGACTGGCAGACCGTCACTTCCTCCCCCAACGTTGCTCCATCTCGACTACGAAAATGACACTGATACGATCATTCGATCATCTGCTGACTCGATCCCTCCTCCCCCCGCAGTAACTGGGCAACTTCAGGAAATGGAGATGATCCGACAGAAGGTCTACCAATTGGAACAAGCACAGATTAAGATGAAACAAGAGTGCGTGCCCCCCCCCCCCCCCTCATTTCTCCCTCCTCTCTCTCCATCACTCTCCGGCGCAAGTGACGCTATTTATTGAAGAGGGCTAACCTCGCGGCTTCAATAGTTATGAAGCGGAGATTCGGGTGTTGCGACATGAGCTTGAGTCGCGCGGTGTGCCGACTGTTTCGTCCCATATTGCCGGTCCTGCACCGCATGCCGGCCCTTCTCAGCCCCCTCCACCCGCACTGGGCCATGGCCCAAGCAACCTATTCGGCGGTATTATGACCAACCAAGGAGGTAGTGGTCCCGGTCTTGCCCCTCCCCCTCCCCAGGATCAGCAGCCTCCCCAGCATACCCTTCAACAGCCTGCTCCCGCGGCTCAACAAGGAGCCCCTCAACCACCGCAGAGCTCCTTTGGGGGATATCAACCTGGCGCTGCTGTGAACGGTATGTTGTGACTACATTTGCGCTTGTTCTTCTCAAGGAATCTCTAACCCCGTCTCTTTCAATATTGTATAGGTTATGGACCCCCTCCTCCTCCAACCGCCTCCCCGGGCCCGGGAAAGAGACCCCGGGCTCCTCCCGGCCCAGCGACTCCCCAGCAAACCCACCAGCTGGCCTACCCGGACCCTCGCGTGTCTCCTCAATTGGCGCGGCCTACCCCTCCTAGCCAGGCCATCGTGCGCGAACGTCCCGGCAACATGCTGGCCAACTGGAACCCCGATGACTTGCCTGCCTCGCAGAAGCGAGAGGGGGCCGACTGGTATGCCGTCTTCAACCCCGAGGTGCAACGAGTGCTGGACGTCGAGCTCGTCCACCATCTTGTCCATGATAGCGTCGTGTGCTGCGTTCGTTTCAGCCGGGATGGTAAATACCTGGCTACCGGCTGCAACCGCTCCGCCCAAATCTTCGACGTCACCACCGGTCAGAACGTCGCCACATTGCAAGACGAGAACGTCGACAAGAACGGAGATCTTTACATCCGTAGCGTTTGCTTCAGCCCGGACGGAAAGTATCTCGCCACCGGAGCCGAAGATAAACAAATTCGCGTAAGTCCGAAATTCCACTCCGCCCCCGGTCTCCTTCGCTGGTCCTGTGTGAGAGAAGGCTAACGATACGGAACATAGGTGTGGGACATTGCCGCCCGAACCATCAAACATATTTTCACGGGTCATGAGCAGGATATCTATTCCCTTGACTTCGCCGGCAACGGCCGCTACATCGCGTCCGGTAGTGGCGACAAGACCGTGCGTCTTTGGGATATTCTAGATGGGAAGCTTGTCTACACACTCAGCATCGAAGACGGAGTGACCACCGTCGCCATGTCCCCTGACGGTCACTACGTTGCAGCCGGATCTCTGGACAAGAGCGTTCGCGTTTGGGACACGACGACCGGATACTTGGTGGAGCGCCTTGAGAGCCCGGATGGTCACAAAGACAGCGTTTACTCGGTGGCATTTGCCCCCAACGGTCGGGATCTTGTCAGTGGCAGTCTCGACAAAACGATTAAGCTTTGGGAGCTTAACGTTGCCCGCGGAGCCTACCCCGGAACCGGGTCCAAAGGTGGTAAATGCATCCGAACCTTTGAGGGTCACAAGGTATGTCGGTCGCTAGTTGTCCCTGTTCTATTTTACCTTTTGCTTTCATTTCTTTTCTTTCCTCTTTTGGGGAGGGATATCCGGTAGATGTTTGTCGGTTGCTGACTTGACTGGACAGGACTTCGTTCTCAGTGTCTGTCTGACTCCCGACGGTCACTGGGTTATGAGTGGCTCGAAGGACCGAGGCGTTCAGTTCTGGGACCCTATCACCGGAAACGCGCAGATGATGCTCCAAGGACACAAAAACTCCGGTAAGTCTGCGCTTAAGCGCTCGAGCACCTGGCGATGAACCTCTGTGCTAACACGGCCACGCAGTTATCTCGGTTGCCCCCAGCCCCACGAACAATCTGTTCGCGACTGGTAGCGGTGACATGCGCGCAAGAATCTGGCGGTATGTTCCTGTCTCCTCCCCCTAAGAAACCGCAGGACCGAATGGTCTTGCCACCATCTGAAGGCGTTACTTACTTGGGTCCCAGATACTCTACGTACACTGGACGGTGATTGAATTGCAGGTTTCTGGGAATGTCGGCGCACGTGTGATTGTTGATCTTTTTCGTTCGCTTATGTTTCCCCGTGTGTGTTCCATGTCGCGGCTAGTTTGATTTATATGGATTTCCCTGCGTTAATGAAGGCGACTGCGTTTTCCATTCCCCGTTCCTCCATCTACGTGCAAATCAAGGGATAGAATGACAAGCGGAGAAGAGCGAGGTCCTGGAACGAAAGGGTTGCGTGTACGGATAGTCTGTCGATTTGTTCTCTACTGTTTCTATGCGTAATTTGGAACTCGATCTATCATGGATTTGCTTGGTTATAAGGTGGTGACGTCCGGCGTCGAGTGCCCTACTCCGTACGTATACTCTGGATCGGCAGTCGTGGTTACGTAATCAGAGCTGCCTTAATAAATTAACTTATTGTAGTTAGACTTAGTGATTTACGGAGTACGTAGTTAACTCATGGTGGATCTATCACCTTCTATCTATCACCTTTCAGGCCGGTTTCTGATTGCGTCGCCCCCTCCCTCCAGCGGACGCCCTGACGATCACGAGGGCGCCGTCCATTTTTAGCCCAATCTCACTCAGCACGGCGAGGCCTGCATTCCTTCTGCTCGCATGCATGCACACCAGTCAGCCGCGGTGGAATTTCCGGGGCCATTGGCGGCTACTGAGAAATGAGAGGATGAGACTGACCCCGGTATTATGTATACGTGGGTAGACCCTCCGATACAATATCCTCCGAATCTGGGGGTTGGAATCTCCTTTAAATTGGAAAAGGAGGAGAGAAAATAAGAAAGTGGTTAACTGTGTACACCGTAGTGTGTACATACATACTCCGTACTGTAGTCCTCCAGAGTAGGCAATACCCAGTGGTCCCTCCCCTCCCGCGACCGGATCTAAATCCTGTTGCACCGGGCGAATGGTTCACTACTGTGTCCTCAAGCGATCCATCGATCTCTCTAGCTCCCCCGGGGCTACCGCTAATCTCTCTAGGCCCGTCTCGCGATCCATCGGTGGAATGCATCACTGCAGGTCTTGAGAGATGTACATACTGTGAGTGTGAGTGTGAGTGTGAGTCTGGAGTTTCCTACACAGCACTTTCCTTTGCAGTTCCACGTGCTCCGACGATACAGTACAACCAGAAACCTGACGTCTACGAAGGGACAAAAATACGGGGACTGACCAGTCTGACCAGTCTGACCATCAGCTGGAGAAGGGCCGGCCCGTCGATGGCAACGGAGACAGAGAGGGAGAGAGAGAAACGAGCTGGCGGCCGATCGCTCTCCCTCCCTTCGGTACTACTAGTAGAATTGTTCTCGTCAAGGGCGGATGTCCTGACCATGGTTATAATTGGTTATTAGATTATTCGATACAGTCAGGTCAGGTCAACCGGACGGGACAGGGATTGATCTGGATCCAAATGGAACTAGTGATTCAACTGGGGCCAAAGAAGAAGGGGGGGGGGGGGGGGGGGGAATTTGTCGCCAGTCGCGGCTGTTCCAAACCACCCAAGAGTGAGGCACATTTCGCCAAGCCGCCAGTCAGCGTGACTATTGATCGCCTGCGAGCGGTCCGTCCGGAGCCACTTTGACTCTACGGAGTCCACTCCACTACTGAGTACAGTGACTGACAGTGACAGTGACAGTCAAGTCAAGGCCCATGTGGTGGTGATCGCGACGAGGTTTCATCATTTCATCAATCCATCGAAGGAGTGTGATGAAATAGCTTCCGACTCTCGCCCAGAGTTCTCGGGTCCTGTGCAGCGCATCTGCAGCCAGTCTGGGCATCGCCATCCACTCCGGAGCTGCATGATGGCTTGGGCTTGCCTTTGTCCACCACGTTACTCGCTTGACTTCCACCGTACGGAGTACATACTAACACCCGTACTTCGTCTTCCTCCCTGAACATATGTACGTACCTCCTTCCAGTAAGTCACTGCCTTGGTTACCGCATACAGGCTCCTACACTAGTAGTTAGACCTGCCGTTCTGCTGCAGGGTGCTTCCCTCATGCAAACAATGCGCTGATGATCGGACTCAGGACTTGTCACTTGGAATCCCAGAAGGGGTTCCCTGCTGATTCACCAAGCCACGGTTTCAAAAGGGATCTACACAAGACGTTCATTCCGAATGAGAAATGATAATGATCCACCCCGTCGAGAAGAGGGAATTTCAAAAAGGCGCGCTTGTGTCGTGCGGTGGAAACACTCGAGTCGCCCCTCTTTTTTATTAATATTTTCATTTCCATTATTCTTTCAACTCAATTTTTTTTTTTTTTTTTTTTTTTTTTTTTTCCCTCTCCAAAAACCAAAAAATCACTCGTCCGCCAAAATGGGTCCCAACAGTTCAGGTGCCTGCGTGGATGACGAGGGTATCCCGGTCGATGCCTGCTGAGCTAACGCTTCCTAGCATCGAACAATACGGGAGTGGGAGAAACAATCTGGTAACTACGAGAAAGGATGACAGGCGACCAGTCCGGAATTGAATTGGAAAGCGGCCTGCTTTGCCTTGGGTTCGGCTCGGTTCTTGCTTGGTCGTCACCCCCCCACCCCTGCGCGGCGAGGTCAGATGATGATGATGATATCTTTACAAGTCATGGGAAATGGCGAGGCAGAATGGAATGAGGGAGAAAACGGAGATCCAGATCCCTGTCAAAATCGTATTTTGTGACAAATTTGCCCCCGACCCCCTCGGTCCTTCTGTTATCCCCGAAAGGGCCAGCATGATTTCCCACCCTGCATGCGTACCTGCTTCGCCAGAGCAAGAGCCAGAAGCAAGAGCAGATACTCCGTCCCGTCGACATGGAGCCCGATCGGACCGTCGCCAGTCTGTCTCGTGATTGGGTCGAGCCGAGGCTCCACGATCCTTTCATTCTCTGATACTAGAATAGGTTCTTTATTCAACCCGGGAGGACCGTAGGACTAGCTAGGGCTAAGGAAGTACGGAGTCGGTCGTTCATAACCACGATGATAGCGACGGCGTAGTCTCTACGCAATATTGTCGAACTAGTACGGCGTACTAGTCCCCTGGACTAGTCACTAGTCGTCCGTACAGCGTACTGTAGCCCTTCAGACCCCTGCCAGAAGTCCCCATCCATCGCCCCATTTCATCGTATTGGGCGGAAAGGGGGTTTAGATTTGATTTCATTTGATTTATTCTTTTCTTATTTTTATTTATTTATTTTTTTTATTTTTTATTTTTTGCCTTTGGGGTTTTCTGATTCCTTTGACTGGGATGAGAGATTCAATGAGGTACCGTACCTCTTGCTATTACGTCCTAACCGCCCTTCGTCTGGCAGGTAGGTAAGTAGGCAGAGAACAGGAATAAGAATATATACTCAGGTAGATATAGAGTCGGCTTATGATTGGCATCACTGGGGATTAAACATTCCAACGAGTTGAATTAAGGTCGCGGATCTCACATTTCTTTTGTCTGGTCTTCTTTTCTTCTGTTGGAGTGTCTGGGCATCCGGCTCTTCAGTAGGGAGGAGGCAAGGGAGGTACTTTCGGGGAGAAGGCAATCTGCCTGTCAGCTTCGCCCTGCATCCTCCATCCTCACATCCTGGCTGGAAGCTGAGCACGCCGTGTGGGTGGAGAACCCTCCCGGTCGCCTTTATTGGATTTCCTGATTTACAATTCTTGTTTCTGGTTTTTTACTCGATCGGTTTACTCCAGTACGGTGACCATGGTGTAGGAGGTACTGAGGGTTGTTTCATCTGCTCATACATCACAATACATGTCATGGATAGGACACACACCTGCATGGGTGGATGTATGTACATACATCATGGACCAGGCAGACGTGGACATGGCAGACTTAGCCTTTCCTAGACCCGATTCTACAAGCCTTCAGCTAAACCCATCAATTGTCCACCCCCGCTGCTTCCACTTCCCTGGGTTTTTAAGAGGATATTATCATATTATGGTAGTTCACTATAGTAATCATTATTATGCATCTTGTTCTTTTTTTATTTCCTTACCCCGTATTTTTATTTTCGTTTGATCACTGGAATTCCAATCATCATCATTAGCCCTCTCTCTCCTCCTTCTCCCACACGCTCTTTTTTATTGTGTTTGATTTATTTATAATTATTTATTCTCGAAACCAAAAAAATGTATGTTAATATAAGAAAAAACAAAAAAAAATTAAAAAAAAAAGAGCTTTCTTATATTCCTATTCCTTTTCCCCCTCCTTCTCTCGCCTCGTGCGCCGAGGAGGCTGAGGAAGAGTATGTCACCCGGCAGGGAGTATATATCCAGCTCTAGATCATCGCTGGTTTAATCAGGGCGCTGGTGAGTGCATGAACAATAAGGATACCCGATCCTGAAAGAATCTTACTCTGGCTTAGATTTATATAAGTATATTCCTGAATTATCATTGGTTGGTTCTCGATCGGTATTGTCATATCAATATCATTATACCTAAATACCCTCTCTTCAGCCTTTCCTGCCTACTCTTCTCGCCCCTCGCCCTCTTCTTTTCCCTGCTCCTTCTTCTTTTTTTTTTTTTTCCCCTTAGATCCCTCCGTCTCATTTCTTCTTCGTTCTCTTTCTCTTTCGTCACCATCCGCTTCTCCCTTATCTTATTATCCTCACTTGAAATCCCCCACTAGTCCACTTCTATATATACACATTTTTGATCTCATACGTACATCTGTGCTCCTTCAAGTTGTGAGGAATTCGAACTAGCGCGTGGTATTATCTTTCTATATATTTGCTTTTGTTACTTGGGTCCCAGCTCGAAGGTCTTCTCTCATTTCGCAAGATCTCAGTTCGTTGGCCCCTCAGCAAGAAGGAAAGACAGAAAGGACGAGAACACCGTAAGTGAAAGACTGTCCGATGCTCATCTAGCGGTCATCTCCAAAGTAAGACTAAGACTTGATAGCACAAAATTCTTTTTCCCCGCTTGGCAGACTACCCTGGAG